AGTCAATGTCATGAGACAAAGTGTATGTGAGCTGCTGTATGGAAAGTGAATTTGCTCTGTAAACTTTCGCCCAAATCACAATAAAAATTAAAAAAAAAAAAAAAAAGCAGTCAGACACAATAGGCCACACATTGTATGATTCCATTTATATAAGATGTTTAGAATAGGCAAATCGAGAGACATAAAGTAGATAAATGGTTGCCAGGAGCTAGAGGAATGGGTAATAACTGCTAATGGGTATAGGTTTTCTCTTTGGATTGATAAAGATGTTCTCAAATTAGATAATGGTAAATATACTAAAAACTATGGAATTGAATTACACACTTTAAAAGGATGGATTGTATGATATATGAATTACACAGCAATACAACTATTATTTTTAAAAAGACAGTTTTCAAAGTTAGTTTTTAAACTAACTTTAAAAGTTTTAGTTAAAGATAGTTTTAAAAGGTATTAAATATAAAAGCTTAAAGTTTAGAACTGAATTTGCTATATATATTTAAATTCATGAATGTTCCTGAGAATGTATGATCAAATGATGTAATTAATAAACTGCTCAGTATTTCATTTCCCTTTATTCTGAGAATCCAAACCTGCTAAATAAAAATATTCTAATTCAATGCCAATTCTATCATCTATATCTGAGACCAAATTTCTTCATACAGATGGCATCCATAAACAGCTACCAGAAGCGGCCATTCACAGGCACATCTGCAACTTAATACCTCACCTTCATGCACAGCTCCGCTTTGTCAAAGCCCATCAGCATGTTGATAATGTCAAACCCAGACGTAGACTTATTCTTCTGATGGACTCCTCGAATGAGTGCACACAAGGTCTGCAAAGACAAGAGAAAGAATTCTTTCCAGAGAGGAAATCTCAAAATTAGAAGGACACTGGAGCTGTAGCCTATCATAACCTCAAAATCTCCCGCTTACACAGCTGACTTTTAATTTCTATTACTCAGAGCTCCAACACTGCCTGAGTCTTAGTATGTACTTAATCCAGAATTAAGAGAGGAACAGCAATGGAAACTGTTGCTTTTTTTTTTTTTTTTTTTTTTGGCCATCTTCTGAAAAAATTATACTGCAGTCAAAGACTAAAAGGTAGAGGTTCCGGCAAGATGGCGGACTAGGCAGAAGGATTGCACAGGCCCTCTTCAACAAAGAAAAGGGAAACCAATTAACACAGACACAGAAGATAATCTTGGACCCCTGAGCCTTGAAGGAAAGGATGCAGAATTGGACTAAACCCCAACTAGCAGAAGAATTTGCATGAAAATA